AAAAAAAAAAAAAAAAAAATCCAAAAAAAATCCGAGAAAAAAACTATGTTATGCAGAAAAATAAACTGAACAACTTTTGTCTCATGGTCGCATCGAAATTCTTCACCAAATTAAAAAATATATATATCGTCACATATATATCGTCACAAATAGAACTGCCCGGTAAACCGTAGGCAGAGAGAGAGAAGAGGACAACAAACGAGGGGCTGTTATTATTATTATTATTATTTTTACTTTTTTGGCCCGGCCGGGCAATTGACCCCGGGCCACTCTGGTAGCCTAGAAAAATACTGATTAACATTTTTTGACAGAACACGCTCGGGAGGCATTCGGCCAAACACCCAAACATGTTTGGGGGTTCGGAAAGGCTCCTCCGAACGTGTTCGGTGTGCTACACAGCTGGAGACCACACAACACACAGGACCAGCCTCATCACAGAAGGCCGGTGGAAGCGCCAGACGAACTGGAGAGATTAAATTTACCGTTACTGTTATCGAGTATAAAATTTTACCCGCAGGGTTGTATCAGCATCGACCATGGATGCCAATCCCTGGTTTAGTTCATTCAGCAATAATAACTTTTTGACTGTGGCATGTTATCCTGTCGGACTTACATGCCGGTGTACTTCGTATTTGCTATTTCTTCTTTAGATGTCAATAGCACTACAACAGTAGGTTGGCCTAGTACTTCCAAATATGCTTTTCCAGATGCAGCTTGAATGGTTACCTATGAAGTTTCTACACTGACAACCCCTGGCACCATTTTACACAGGGGATGTTAAAACATGTGTTGCTTATGCACAGTAGGCAGGGGAATATCGACAGAGGTCACGCAATCTTTTGACACATTGGGGTTTGAAAATGATGTTCGGCACGGCGTTGAGAGTTCTTTAACCCACCAGTACTCCAGGGGGTCTTAGGCCCCCCCTCTGAGGAGGCTCTGAGGCAAATGCATATGGACCTGCATGGCGCACCGATTCAGCCACCGCGTTAACGGCCTAAAAACGTGGAGGTACTGGTGGTTTTAAGTTGTTGGGCCTCCTCTTACCCTGGAAGACTTCTCCCTTTATACAATGGGTTCCCCCGATCGCGCTAGTGATACTGTGAACGATAGTCCAGTAAGGTCCTCTCTTCTTGAGGTGGATGAATGCATGATTGACGTACGCCAGTTCACCATTCATATTTGTCCTCATTTCTGCGACTTGTTCTGGATTTGGTCGACTTGACGAGGCTTGTCTGAAAGCGCTTGTGGGAACTTTCCTTCGCCATAACCTGGCATTTGAAATGTGACTTGGAACCCTCCTCTCGTCTCCCAAAATTATTTACACTCTTATCTTATTCACAGAATTCTCCTTTGTCCTTTTAGACGAAATCTAAATGATTCTTGGTTGTCAGCATCCTGTCTGCCTTAGGGCCTCGCCACACCACCTAACAACGAGTGCATTTCCACAGCAGTTGGCAAGATACATCCATCACTATCCATAGTAACGGACGTATCATGCCGCCTTCTGTGGAGAGATACGCGCTTAGTTTTTGAGTTTGGTGAGTGTTGCACAAACCCTTAATCTGACTGGGCACATAATTCACTTGAGAAATATGTGTGACTTCTAGGAACGATTCTGGCTTCTTTTCACACTCTCCTTCACATGCACTCCCTCAATTTGCATGCACGCCCTTGCCCTGACCGTGAACATCCCCCATTCTGAGAGTCTGAGACCCTGACTGACGCCTTAGGACAACCCTTACCTTGACAGGCTGATACTCCAGCATTTGAGATGGATGGTCTCCCCCCCATCCCAAGGGTCTGAGACCCCAACTGGCACCCAGGACACCCCTCTCTTATCCTGATACACTGTGGCTTCAGGATATAGCTCAACAATCTCGCACAGGGTGTGAGTACAAGCACACCACCCTGCATTCAGGCACACATAACTGAACCAGCGGTCCAGCTGGGGTTGGCAAGCCCTAGACTAACTTTCCCATTTATATCATAGACCTCCACAATGGATGTCCCAATCCCAAGCTCATATGGTCGACTCAATCACAAAGACAGGATTTTCTTTTATATGTTCCAACGACCGCACCGTCCTGCCGTCCAGAGGATTTATTTTTTTTCTGTTCCAGCCTCAACATCGAATGGGAAGTTATCACCACCCTTACCGAAGCCAATCCTACAGCGGCCTACAACGACACTGCAGAGGAAAATTGGAAAAGGACGAGGGATCTAGCCACAAATTCGATGACTAAAAGACAAAGGAGTCCAGGTGACGTGACTAAGCATTTATCATCATGCCGTAGACCGCAAGTTAGAAGTCTTGGGATCTCGCTACACTACTTTCGAAATGTAATAAATGAGAACGAATCTTCGCTAGAACTTGAAAATATCACCGGCATGTTTTGTCTTTTGTGCACGTCGAGAGTAGTGGGGCGAGGCCCTTGGACACGTAGGCCGGACGATGAACAAACCAGGTTCTCGGCACATCAGCATCTGATGCCGAGGCAACTCATCGAACCGGCCCGGGAAACTCACGAAATGGTCACTTCCAAAAGACTGATAAAAAAAAAAAAAAACGTGTACACAAAAGCCTTCACCATCCTAGCACTCCACAGCGTTTAAGATCAGGTCAATATGTCACAGTGCACAAAATTGGGCCAGTGAAGGAGCACTGTATGCCCAATGGACAAGTTCAAGGCCAATTCTAGGACGATGATCAAGATTGTGACATCAGTCCTCTGCCGAGAAAAAGAGAAAACCAACTTCCTTTCCGTCTCCGCATAATGATAACCACGGGGGCAATCAAAGGCACTCACCGTCACCACCAGGCTCCGTTGCTTGGTTTCAACAGTCGGACCGTGCATGATGAGACGGCCAACGCTTCCACGTGTCCATCACTAATTCCCTTGCAAGATTGTGAAATCAATCCTCTACTGAGAAAAAGAGAAAAACTACCATCCTTGGCACCTCCTCATAGTTATCACCACGGGAGCAATCAAAATCACTCACCGTCACCACCAGGCTCCATTATTTGGTTTCAACAGTCGGACCGTGCATGATGAGATGGCCAACGCTTCAACGTGTCCATCACTAATTCCCTTGCAAGATTGTGAAATCAATCCTCTACTGAGAAAAAGAGAAAAATTGCCTTCCTTGGCGCCTCCTCATAGTGATAACCACGGGAGCGATCAAAATCACTCACCGTCACCACTAGGCTCCGTTGTTTGGTTTCAACAGTCGGACCGTGCATGATGAGATGGCCAACACTTCAACGTGTCCATCACTAATTGCCTCGACGAGGCCTCCATCAGTCAATACACACATGTACATAGTCCAAATCACTCACGCAAAAAATATCCTCAATGAATGGATGACGTAACTGATTCCTATTCAATCCTTTTTGTCCATCCATAAACTGATAACCGAATACAGAACCAAAACCCCCAAAAAAGGACCACCAAACTTAAAGAGCACAAAACAGCTTACCCAAAAAAAGGACCAAACTTAAAGAGCCAAAAACAGCTTCCTATCCACAAGGTTCTCGGGCGGTGTCTTTTTGCATGTCCCGTATAAGACTAGAATGAGATGGGCAGCTGTTCAGGGTCCCCATTACAATGACTGATGAATTTGTCAGTGCTTCCTCTTTTCGGGAGTCGTCCATATGCATTCTTAGAATACTACCTAACATCTTCCACGGAATGCACCACACCCTCATCATGACCGTATGCGATCAAAATGACACCTTGTAAGCGTCTATGATCAAGATGCGTTGTGTTTGGGAAGAAGACGGAAAACGAAATCGTTATGGGACCCAGTCAGAGAACTTGTATATGTCCATGACCATGAGAACATGTATATGTTCATGACCATGGTACAATGTGTTCGGCAGGGAAGACGGTAGAATGGAATCAGTATTGTGCAGACGT